CCTACCGTTGTAGCCTTCATGAGGGCGCAGCGTCGGATGTGGTACCTACGAATTTTGTCAGCGAAGGTTGCGCATTACGGTTAGGAAACGTTGTCCTGACCAGCACTCGTGCACCGCACTGACGATTCGTTCAAGAGCCACACTGCCGATCGGCCGTGTGCGTGGTGACATCGCGCAAGCTGTTAACAATAGTAGTGCTCTATACAATAAGTTGGATGAACCAATCGGCATGCCAGGGTTTTAAGGGCACTATCGGATTAGTTGAATTGCAGTCCATATAGTAGTGCTGAAAGTAGTCAATTTAATCAAAGTCAGGTATAGGGTGACTAGCGGGAATACCTTCAAGTGAAGTTCTTCTTCCAGTTGACGAGATTGTTCTAAGCTGCTTGTCGCTGCGGCCAGGGCGGTCTGGGCTTCCTCGAGCTGTTGACTGGTTGTTTCACGCTCGGCAGACAACTTGGCAATGTCGGCTTTAAGGGACGCAACTTCGGTGTTTAAGCCTGAAAACGGCAAAGACGAAAGTAGTGAACACTCAGAATGAATGAATAAACATACGGATTAGAGCAGTGAGGACGAGGAAGATCCTATATTCAATGAAGCACTGACGGGTAAGAGTTTACAAGAAAATGTTTAAGAGCAGACAGTAATCTAATATAAGAGAGTTTTGGAAATCCAATCAAGAAACTCATTCTTTGAAGAAGTGCGAAATTAACTGCTAAGACAAAATTGTGACATTTTGTTTCACACCCAGACATGAAATAGCGTTGGCGTGAAATCTCTGGTTAGGCCTCAGAAGATGGACCTCAATGACACCGGTGCGCTGAAGCAATTAACTCCTTGTTCCAGCAATTGCAGCCTCTTCGTCGGTATTTTCTTGTGTGCCAAAATTCATGTACCATAATAGCTGTCTGCTCCCGAAGCATGTGGTTGTAGGCTATGTGAATTATCAGGCTCCTTTTTCAGTTGGAAGAAAACAGTGTTAATCACGTTGTTGACCAAAAGCATTCACTGCAAAGGACGACAACAAATTCCGTCGGGGAAAGATAAGATTAAGGACTCTTGTTGTGAATAGTTAGTGACGCTCGACCCCCTTCCAACCTTCATGCAACGCCGCACATGAGGTCACGTGATTGCAGCTGGATGCGCCGCAAGCCCCGTGCAAACGCTTGCCTCTCGGAGCTGCTAGCGTATGCGCACTTTTAGGCTGATCCCAGCTCATTTGGCCAATCACTTTCAAAGCTGACTCACACGACGGCCGCTCGCTAGTCCGACAGTCAACTACCCCTGTACATAATGCAGTACTGCTTCTACTTGGCGGCTCTGTCTTTCTCTTTCCTTTACGGAATTAGGGTCCGAAGATCGCAGCGGCGAGGGTTTCCTATTAATATAACTCACTGCACTAATGTATTACTTGGCAAAAAGCCTGAAGAGTCCGCCTAATACGAAAATGTCCCACTTCGTCTTCCAGGTGGAAAATATGTTCCCTTTAATGATCGGCTCGTCTCTTTCTGATGTAGAAAATAACTTCTCGGCGAAAAAATGACGCTGGTTGTGTCTGTTGACTGCGGTTTA